ATAATGTAAACAGAATTGGTCCTAGCACTGAACCCTGTGGAACTCCATAATTAACCTCAGTGTGTGAAGAGGACTCTCCATTTACATGCACAAACTGGAGTCTGTTAGATAGATATGTGTTTAACACACACACACCTTCACCTGTGTGTTTTGCTGACATGTTTGTAATGATGGGGGATAAATCAGTGGTGGATGTAAAGTAAAGTGTGTCCTTCTGTCTGTCCAGCGGAAAGATATGGTAATTTCAAACTGTGCTGTGAAAAGGGGATGAGGTGGGCTCCAACGTATACAAGCTGCCTTGATGAAGCTATGGTATTTGTCCACAAGCACAAGAAACTCTTCAAACATCAGAGACAAAGTCAACGCTGCGTAACGGTCTACAAAGAATGCTGTGAGCATCTCCTGAGGAGCATCAACCAAGGCAGCGTCATTGCACGTAATGGTCAGTGTGGACTTTTCTGTTTACAGCATCACACTCTGATGATACCAACAGCAGGAGCTCATTTCTGTGCTATTACAATCCACTGCTGCTCTACCTGTTCAGCACATATTTATTTCATAGCTGATTTACCTGTTAGCAGCTCCTGTATGCTGATACAGACAGCTGTTCTCTGACTGGTTTATAGAGTTTATTATGATGTCAGAGCAGGTGTAAGTCAATGTGTGTTGCACTCTTGTTTGTGTACAGAAATGGGTGCAGACTTTGGCCTCGCTCCTTCTCTGGTGCGGAGCTACTTTCCAGAGAGCTGGATGTGGGAGGTGCAGCGGATCAGGTGACATCAAACACACGATTAAAGTACTCTGCTCAGTCCCAGCTCCGTCGTTCTGTTCTCTACCAGAGCAGCTTTGCATGATTCACAGTTAGAAATAATGCGTATTTATCTGATACTGGGCCTCAGTGCAACCCTCAGACCGTCCTGTCTGAAACAAGCTGTTTTAGCTCCACCCCTTTCAAACTAATGCTCTTCTGATTGGCTCTACTAAAAGGTGGGGCTTCTGAGATGACAATCTGAGCTTTCAAAGTGATGCAGCTCAGCAGGAAACATTCTTCTAAGACAGCTCCTTTTTTCCACCTATCCAACTCAGGGTCACAGAGGGGCGGAGCCTATCCCAGCTGTTATAGAGCAGGAAGCAGGGTAAACCCTGGACAGGTCAGCAGTCTGTTTCATGGCTAACATAGAGAGGAAAACAACCACTCACACCTTCAGTCAGTTTTAAATCACCAGTAAATGTAATGTGCGTGGGAGGAAGCATGAGGAGAACATGCCGACTCCACACAGAGAGTGGATTCAAACCAGGACGTCTTACAGGTGACAGCACTGAATGCATTGAATCTGCACGAGCAGTCAGAAGTTTGGACACAGCTTCTCATTTAGTGGGCTTTCTTTATTTGTGCTACTTTCCACATTGTAGATACAAACTGAAGACATCTGGGATCATGTAGCAGCAGCTCAGATCAGAGCCCAGATAGATGCCACACAGAGCTCCATCAGCAGACACATCTGTGCATGTTCAGAGGAGACTGTGTGAATCAGGCCTTTATGGTCAAACAGCTGCTGAGAAACCACGACTGAGGAAAAGCAACAAGCAGAGATTTGTTTGGACCAAGAAACACAAGAAATGGACATCAGACCATCTGTGCTTTGGTCTGATGAGTCCACACCTGAGATCTTTGGTTCCACCTGCCTTTGGGGAGAAAAGGTGAACGATGGTCTCTGCGTGCATGTTCCCACTGTGACGCCTGGAGGAGGAGGTGTGAAGGCACACTGACCCAGCATGGCCACCACAGCATCCTGCAGCGACATGCCGTCCCATCATTTGTTCTCCAACAGCACAGTGACTCCAAACACACCTCCAGGCTGCGTGAGGACCAAGAAGGAGAGTGATGGAGGCCTCCACATCCACCTGAACCCAGTGGAGATGGTTTGGGATGAGATGGAGCGCAGAGTGAAGGCAAAGGACCGACAAACGCTCAGCATCTCTGAACTCCTGCAAGACTGTTGGAAACCGTTTCAGGAGACGAGCTCATGAAGCTCGTGGAGAGAAGGCCGAGAGTGAGCGAAGCAGGAATCAAAGCAGAGGGTGGATATAAAACATGTTTGGAGTTACTTCATAATTCCACGTTTTCATTCACAGTTTGATGCCTTCAGTGAGAATTTACAATGTAAACAGTCATGAAAGAAAAACCATTAAATGTGAAGCTGTGTCCAACCTCTGACTGCTGGTGCTGTGATGGGCCCAGCACTGAGCTGTGGGACCTTTACTGGGCGATTTATTTGAAGCTGTGTCCAAACAGAACATTTCCCAGAAGTTCTGTTGAAAATACTCTTTGAGAGCGAATCCATGCCTGGGAAGTCAGACGTTCATTTCCTTTAACCAAGGTTTACACATGGTCCCAACAATGATGGCAGCTTTAATGCTCCAGGCAGCACAGCTGGTTACAGATCCGCCTCCCTGTCTTTAGGGACTGTTGTGACTGTCCTTGTATTTCCTGTCATTAGTTCAGGGCGGCTGGCGGTCAGCAGGACTCTGCCGGACTCTATCACCACGTGGCAGATAAAGGCCGTCGGCATGTTCAAGAACGGCGAGTTTCTTTCATTTATTCCTTTTTAAGGGTGCTCTTCAGTTTTCTGCCCCCTCAGTATGCAGGGATAAGTAAAGTCGGATGGTTCCCGTTTGTCCGACAGGTATGTGCGTGGCAGATCCCGTCCAGGTGTCGGTCAGTCTGCCGCTCAGCGTGGACATCCCGCTGCCCTATCAGGTGGTCAGAGGAGAGCAGCTGGAGCTGAAGGGGTCCGTGTACAACCAGCTGCCCGACCACGTTACGGTACACAACACAGACCACCCAACTACATATCCCATGATCCTTTGCCATGCATCCCTGTAGGGTTTCCATGTTGGCTGAGGAAACGCTCCTCTCCTGTGAGGAGCTGGAATAGCTTGGATGGGGTAGCTGTGGCTTCACTGATGAAGAATCTTCTGCTCTGTCCATCTTCGCCCTCAGTACTGCGTGACGCTGACAGTCGGCCCGGCGATCTGCCTGCTCAAGTCTCAGCCTGTGATTGGGCAGGCAGGGCTTCGCTCTACAGCATGCACATGGAACGACATACCAAGAAAAGGGGTGGAAACAGTGACCTTCACCCTGCTGGGACTGGAACCTGGAGAGCACACCCTGACCTTCACCCTGAAAACACCCGACCGTCGGGCAGACATCGTGGAGAAGAAGCTGCGTGTGGTGGTACGTACGGACGAACAGAAACACAAATGCTAACTAGAAAAATTTGCATTTCCTGCAAAAATGCTGTGTGGATGCCTTAACGCTGAAGATGTCTGCTGAAAAAAAATGTTGCCCTGAGTAGGATTCGAGGAGTAGGATAAGAGGTGAAAAGGCTGAAAACTTTGCAGAAAAGAGGTGAATGAGCAGAATTTGGGCTGAAAAGAGTTAAAAAAGTTTAACTGTTAACTGAAAGAAATGTTGCCATAAGCGGGATTTGAACCCGGGCCTCCCAGTCTGAGAATGGATGCTCATCTCACTGAGCTAAAACACAGCTCAGCCCAGCAAGGAAAATCAGTGACGCCACTGATGAGATGGCAGAAATGGGCAAAAAATATTGCAAAAAAAATTCAATATCTCAAAAAGTATAGAAGTTATGAGCACCAAAAGTCATAGCCGGCATTAGCAGAAAGAGCAGAATTTATTAAGATTTGAACGGTGCAAATAGCACAAAAACTGAGGGAGTAGTTAAGCGCCAAAAAGTGTACGGAAGCAACCAGAATAATAAAGTAGGATAATAAAGAACTAGAAAAATTTGCATTTCCTGCGAAAATACTGTGTGGATGCCTTAACGCTGAAGATGTCTGCTGCAAAAAGCTGAAAAAGTTGAAAAGTTGCAAAAAGTTGTATGGCGGTGAAGAAACTGAAAATCCTGCTGAAAACAGGTGAAGAAGCAGAAATTCTTTTCTGAAAAGTGGTGAAAAGCAAAAAATTCTACTGAAAGGGGTAAAGAAGGAGAGATTTTTGCTGAAAAGTGGTGAAAAAAAAAAAACTCCCCTGAGCAGGATTCGAACCTGGCCCTCATGGTCTCAAGGCAGCTCCTCATCTCACTGAGCCAAACTTATTCTCACAAAGAAAATGTGGAGAGACTGACAATTGTGCTGAAATGAGCAGAAGCTGCTGAGAATTGTGCTGATAAGAGGTGAAAAGGCTGAAAACTTTGCAGAAAAGAGGTGAATCAGCAGAATTTCTGCTCAAAAGAGTTTTTCTGAAAACAGCTGAGATTTGGGCTGAAAAGAGGTGAAAATTCTGAAAATTCTGCTGAAAAGAGGTTTTTGCTGAAAACAGTTGAAAAAGTTTAACTGTTAACTGAAAGAAATGTTGCCATAAGCGGGATTTGTGGGCCTCTCAGTCTGAGAACAGATGCTCATCTTACTGAGCTAAAACACAGCTCAGCCCGGCAAGGAAAATCAGTGACGCCACTGATGAGATGGCAGAAATGGGCAAAAAATATTGCAAAAAAAA